CGAGTCAATCATCACCATATTATTCAGCATGCTCAATTACATTTATTTTGACAAGAATTAGCTGGCTTAGACGGCTTTTTCATGATTTTCAAAAATACGCTTATTAATCCCTATTCAAATTCAGTTTTTTACAATTTTAACCCTGTTTGGCTATTTTTTCAGGAACCAAACCATCACCATATTATTCAGCATGCTCGATTACATTGATTATGTCAAAATTTAGCTGGCTTAGACGGTATCTTCGTTATGTCTAAAAGGTCACTAATACTATGTGATATTTAGATATTTTGGCCGATATCTCAAAAACTATGCATGATATAAAAAAATAGATTTGATTTATGAAATTGGCATTGAATTTTGAGTGTGAAAAGTACCATTGCAAAAAAAATCGAGAACAGGCGATTTTGCAGGTCCTCCTTAACCAACTATAAATGGTATCCCAAACATTCAAAGGTATTATAAATATTTGAACATCAATATTATTAGAAACCACAGCCGAAACATTCCCAGAGCCACCACAAATCAATGAATTCAACATTTTTGAAAATTAGAGCCAATTTTTTGTATGAATAAGATGTTCGTATTCAACAGTCTCCATCGTAACCAAACCCAAATTAAATTACCAACAGGGAAGGATTCACTGAAATATCACTCAAGGAACTTTACCAATGATAACTCAATAATGCAAAATGGCTTCATTTGATCAGATTCTTTTGCCTATTTGTAAATCTGATGTTCAATTCTGGTTTTTCCTAACATTATTGGAATTCGTGTGACTAAAACCACTCCAATTGACCCTCCAATATTGGCAAAGGATTCATTCCAAACAATAATACAATATTAATTACTGTGAGCTAAAACAACTTTAGGTGAAGGCAATCAGATTGATAAAAAATACAAACATTAATATATTTCCTCTTGCTTGTCACAGGTTTCGTGCGATTCTTGAGTAATGTTGTTCTTAATGTTACTTTTCCTCTTATTGATATTGGAATCTTAAATTTTCTTTCATGTTTCCAACAGAGAACAAGATGAACGTTCAAGAAACGTAATTCACCATGCAGGGAAATTGATGGTTGAATGTTGAAATGTATTTACGCAGGAAAAATTGACCCAGAAAAAAGTCAAAAGGTGAGTTAGGAATACACATGTTTTCTGTTAATTTTTCTTCCAATAAAAAGGTAATAGTAAAAAATGATTACTTTAATCAAGAACCAAGTTTGACAATTGGAAAGAAAATTAATTACCTTTTAATGAGATTGTTGATTAATTCTCTCACTTGAATGTAGATAATTTGATCTTAAAATCAATATTCTTTGACTAACTCAACAAGGAACAACTTTAATTGTCTTCAGTTTGATGAATCTAAACTAATTTGTATTGTTCAACTTAGCTAATCATTGATTTTTTGGTATCTTTTTCTCTTTTATTTCACTCAGGAGTCACATCAATTGGATGATCGAAAAAAGGAAGACTGGAATGGAATATTGATGATCTGATGTGGAAACATGTTCAAGAAATCAGTTGAAGTTACTTTACAGCTAATAAACAACAATAATGTGCCTCACAGGATTGCCAGAACTTCAGAATTTTAAATTTCTCCAATGACGATGAACAGAATAGTGGAAAATGCCTGGTTCAGTGGAATCTTTTGCTACAAGAAAAATTTTTTCCTGTTACACTTTTTTGTTCTAAATTCAATTGAATTGGTTGATTGAAGGAAACGAGATTGTCATAAATATATTCAACTGCTTCTCCACATCATACACTATTTATGTGTTATTACATCCAAAGAGCTGGAAATGTAAATCTCTTCTACATTGACTCTGGAGCAGCAAACCCCTTGAATCTATTCAGATTTCATAGGAATCCCAAAAGAAAGGAAGAACGACAAAAGAAGAAAGAAGGAAGAAAAAACTGAAAGTTCATCATCTTTTCTCATGAAACCAACAAAAACCATTGTTTCACTGAACTTAATATTATTACCATAATCTTGCTTGGCTCAAATTGAATACAAAGTCTCACTTTACTGCAACTCTACTCTTCCTACTACCGTTTTCATCGTAATTTATACATAAATTTACAATCATCTTTTTTTTACCAATTTCCATGCCATTGCCATGCACCGTAGGAACATGAAGGTAAATGATGGAAAGAGAAGGAAAATTGTATGACAGAGAAACAAAATGTGAATAACTTTCAGGTAAATTGGAAACTGAAAAGATTAAAGCTCAAATCACATTATTCACGTAACCTGAATTACTAACAGCTTTAGTCCAGCAAAAAGGCCAACAAACAACAAAAATTGAACACAATCAAACAGACCATTTAATACTCGACAGTCTACCTTCAAGTTAACAGTTTGGTTTAATCAAATGACAACATTAACAATTTGGAAAACTCTTTCCGACAATTTTATTCCAACATTTCAATAAACAGCCAAAAAAGAGGATCAATTTACAATTCAATTGTGAGTAAAAATGAAGACTGCAACTCTCATCATCTATTGTAACATTAACATTTATGCTTTGCATTTAGGTTTACATTAAATTTATCTTGAATTTTTTACCTAATCTAGGAACAAATTACCATGACTTAAATTTACTGGATTACATTTGAATTACCTTTCAACTTGAAATACGAATGCGAGGCTTACAAACGTTGAACACAACTCAATGGTTAACCTTTTAATTTGGACAAATTGTTAACTCTGGTAACATTGGAATCCATTTTTGCTGTTAACAACCCAAAGAACAACAAACCAAAAAATTAGGTCAATTTGGTGTAGACAAGAATTATTAATCAGTTCGTGTAACGTGTTTTACCTTGAATTATATTTCATTCAAGTGTATTAATAGTGATATCCAGAGAAGCAAGAAGATGAACAAGATGAGTGTAAATAGAAACATAAATAACCAAAGTTACTTTTTCATGATTAGTTTTCAGAGTTTTATCTTTCACTCTCTTTCTTGTTTTATATAATTGAAAACCTCTTTTACTCCATCATCTTCATCTTAACCACTCATCTTAATGGTAATACTTCACTGATCTCACAATGGGAGGAAAGAGATGATGATGATGATGATGATGGAGGCGATGATGATTTTATTTGCAGAAGCAAAGAAAACAAAATAAGCTTCTACCTTTGATTATCATTTCTTTTCATTCTTGTATTTTTGTTACCAGAATTGAAAAATGTTACCATTAATATTATCAAAATAATTATGTTTTATAGTAAAGCAATTTGCATGTTTCCATTTTGATTTTGAACATGTTACCTTTTACAGAATTATCGTTGAAATCATTCAATAATAACATTATTTCTATTTTCAGATTTGTAAACCATAATTAATCAAGTTAATCTTGAAATATTTATATTGAAAATAACGCTAGTCTAAAGCCTGTTTATAATGAATGGTTTCCCCAACTCAACACATTTTCACCTTCAAGCTTAACTCAACTCTAATGATTTATTATCAAAGTTGGTTAAAATTTTCATGTAATATTTATTTCCTCAAACAGACTAACACTTCATAACGAGACAATAATTTTTTGATCATTCATTTTATTCCTTTCTTTCAGAATTGTCGCAAATGTTTTCCGCTTTTCCACAATTTCCAGAGTCTTTCCATTATTCCATTTCATTGAAAATTCAGGTAAGCCTTTTCCTTTCAAAAGCCCAACCTTTGAAACTGTAACCAGTGATGGTTAAATCTATGAAGTCTTTTGTTTCTAGTCTTGAATATTAATCTTGAAATTTTTCTCATTTCAGTTGATAGATGAAGCTGGAGAAGGAAAAAGAGTCCACATTTTGGCAATGTTAAACCTCGTTCCAATCAATTGCCATCTTGACAGACTCAAACTCATTCTTTTCACCTTCATTGGAATTGGAAATAGGAGAAAGACAAGGTGATGAAGAAGGACAAAAAAGTCAAGATGAACTTTCCAGGGAAACTTGAACATTACAGGAAAGCGAATACATTTTTACCAGATAAATTTTTAATTTGCTTCAATGGACGGATTGGGTCCTTGTAACTTGAAGGTTAACACTGGATTGGGTTAAAGATGAGCAGTAAAGTTAACTAGTTTGCAACACTCAATCATTATTTGATTAGTTTTAGTTAATATCTCAATTGTTTTTACTGTGAAAACAAATGTCTCACGCTAACAACATGGAAACAATTGCCTGATGGTTCATTTGTTATTGTTAACATTTCATTACAACTGACGAAACTGTTGCCAAACATCAACATAAACCAAACACTAATTAATATTACAAATGTTAACATGAGTTTCGCCATACTTGGGTTTCAAAATGTATTCACAGTTACATGATTATATGATATTGACATGAATATCATCTTAATACCAATCTATCAATTAGATGCCAGTTCGTGTTTTAACCCAATGACAAGTCAATATCAAATTTCAATCCCGTGAGGCTAACAATGTTTATATTTCACTGTATTAATAGATACTTAAGGAGTGACACAAATATTCAATAGTTGCAGTTAGGTCTAGGTTTTAGTTCAATCCTTACAACACCATCAACAAGAACTGTGTAAAAGCTTAAAGATTACTTGAGACAAGATAGAGGTTAAAATGGGTAAAACCCGAATCTCATCCAATGTTAATCCACAAGTTGAATATCCAAACATAAAGATTCTTTTACATGAACATCTTGTTCGACTTCCTTACCTTCCAGGAATCATTTACTCCAAGAAAACATTGAGCTACCTTTTTTACCTAATTGCTTGGCCCTGTATCATCTCTGGAACCGCTCAATATCTGTTATTGGCTATTTTAAAGCGCTTTGCCAACCTAACCTTTTACACAATAGATCCAACACTATTCCTGGGTTCAACTGGTTTTTGGCTGTTAATCACTTGTTTCCTATGGAGTATCATTGCCTCAGTTATTCGCTACTTTTTCCAACAATCAATTAACCAACCTAACTTACAACATTGGATATTTCCGTTGACTGTTCTAGAGAATCGCGACATCAATGATAAACACTTACGTACAATCATCAAGTTTACATATGCTAAAGTCAAGTTTGTCCTTTATGCTGTTGCCTGTGCTGCATTTTCATTTTACATTCCCATTCTGATTGGATTGCCAGCTCAATACTTGCCCTGGACTCTTTTCAATGCCGTTAATACCGCTTTTCATGGTTACATTTGTACTGCTTGGGAATTCAATTTCATTTTTCTCTTGGGTTTCTATCTTTATTACTGTGGACTTCGCTATTCAAAGTTAACCTCTTCATTTCGTCGTCAACTCATCTCTCAATCAGTCTATCACACAGAAAATCCTCAATTCAATTTAACTCCTTATTATGATGAAGGTTTGCGTCGTTTTACCCAGAAAATAATCAAATTGGCCAAAGAAATTGATAAAGCTGAAAATTTCTGGTATCGAGTAAACAATACCGTTTTTATGGGCACTTTTCTTGCTGAAACTCTACTTCTCTATCTTACATTTTTTGCCAACACTGAAGGAGCTATTCTCTGTTGCTGTATTTTTCTTGGACTTTTGACCATCTTTTATGGACAATCAATCAACTTTATACCAGGAATCTATCTTCAACACAAGGTTATTAATTATTCACTTAGATATCAACCTAAAAGGCTTACATCAGGCTTGCCATCTTCCATTTATTTTTAGTTTACCATTTTAGTACACTTTTATTCAACCTCATTTAAGACTAGTTAACAATTAATCAATGTCCAAATTGATTTTACAGTTTGATGAAGCAGTTAATGATACAAAAAAATGGATAAATCATTCATCTTATCTAGCAAGGTTAAGAGCGTTAACAGTTCTCGACTATTTAACTGAAAGACATTTGTTTGTCGTTTTTTGGTGTGTTGATACAACAACCTGGAACTATTTGAAGGTAAGTTTCAAATTTCGCTTCTCAATTTATCACAAATTTTCAATCTAAATCAGCAATTAAAGCATGAAATTTAGCTTTTTTATAAAAATTTCTAATTCTCTTGATTTCAATAAAACTGTTTCTGATTTAGATTTCTGTCTCCTTTACTAACTTCTGTGTGAATTAAATAATTTGAAATTTCCATGTTAATAATACTTTTCATTTTATTTGTTTTTACAGGTTCAAGCTGAGGTTGCAATGTTGCTGTTATTGTTAATTTCAAATTCAAGGAGATGATCAATTATCTTGAGGCTAAACTTGAGAGATTCATTGAGAATCAATCTCAAAGTCAATAATAATCAAGCTCAATGTATTATGTAAGGTAATGTGCATCATCGTTGAATGATTTTCAATTTTTTAGTTGATTGATTTAGGTATTAAATCAAACTTGATCCCTCTGAATAGCAAAAAAATTTCATTTGTTTCAATCTATTTTGAAACAAAAAACATTCATATTTTTGCTTAGATTCATTTAAATATCACTGTTTGATTAATTGAATTTTAGTTGAATGTTTGATCTGAAAATGTTTAAAAATGCTTATTTCTGTACTTTCAAAGTAAATTGGCTAAATTATTTCTGTCACATTGAACTGAAATCCAATTTATTTCATAATTTGAAGTAAAATTCAAAAATTTAGTAACCAGCTTACTTTTAGTCCTTAAAACAGTATTTAGTTTACAATTATACAAATAGTGTTTAATATTTTTCATAAATTATTATAAATTTTATTTGTTAAGACATAACGAGTTCAACCCAATACTGTCAGATGAGTTGAAATGTGAGCAGAAACCATGAAATAACCTAAAGAATACAGTTACTAGAATTTTAAGTGAATAATAATTATCAGAGATTATGACTGTTCTCGGGTTTTAAAGCACTTTATAGATGTTTATTTCTGATTTTTTTACAGAAAATCTCATTTCAGTCATAAATTTTCTAATTGCTTTACGTGAGAATTCAAACTTTTAGAGCTAAAGAGTTAAATTGAAGCAGCAAAAGTAAAGGGTCAGAAGAAGATCATAATTTTATTGATTTTTTCTAGAAAATAAAATTCCAACTGAAAACATATTTTAAATACAGTAGCGATAGATTCAGAGATACGATTTTTCTTGATCGAAACGCAAATTCATAGACAATATTGGTCTCATCTTTCTTTCATGCTTTCATCTTTAGACTATTTTTTATCCAAAAATTGACGAAACATCAAGAAAATTGTAATTTCAAGTTTTCTCCATTTTCAAAAGTAAATTTTGTGATTTAATGAACATTGATAAGAGATCGATCAGACATGATTGATGAAAGTCGTAAAAAGCTGTCAAATAGAGATTAATTCAATTATTGTAAGAGTTTAATCAAGATTATCCCAATAGTTCCTATCGCAGCTCTTTTAGCAACCCAATCTACTTTATTCAATTGTCTTTGCTGAATTGACTTTCGGTAAAAGACTCTGGATCTAACGATAACATGAAGTTGAAAGCCTGAGCAATCCCAAGTATCCAATGCTAAACAGCCAAATCTCTTTTCATGCAACATTTACTGAATGTATGAGATGCTTGGTAATCAAAAATTTTCATTTTAACCAGAAACAGCTGAATTACTGGCAGGGAATGATATTCATTGAAAATGGACAAAAAACAAGAAAATATCAATAAATAAAAGGCAAATTTAATCTTCTAAATGGACCTTAACCATTGACCCAATCAAGAATGAATTAACATTTTAAATCTACCTTTTTCTCTGTAAATTGAATCAGCTTTCAAATTGTGTACAATTAAAGTTGATCTCTTCTTATATTAACATATACATTGACCGAGGATGAATTTATCGCTCCATAAGTAAACTTACAGAGACAAGAAAAATTGGCTCAAAATAAATTGCTTCATTTGTAATTGAATTAAGTCTTACAATTCAATTAAAAGGTAAAACAAAGATTTCCAAGCCAAAATGTTTTCTTTACTGGATTAATAATACACTGAATACACACGATAAATAACTAATAACCCAATCAAGTCTTGAAATTTTTCAATTAAATTCTTTCCTGAAAATAGTTATTTTCATTAGTACCAGTTACATTGTAAATGAAGCATCAGCATCTATTGCAAATGAAAATTTACTTGGAATGAACATTGAAAAGTTACCGAAATGTTTCAGGTTTGCTCTCTCACTAGTTTCATGATAACACTGAAACAATAAGCTCAATTGTCACTCTTTATCTTATACATTTCAATGTTATCATTCAATTGGAGTCATCTTTTGCCAACTCCAAGCCATTTCAACTCCAAGTCCATTGAAACTCCAAAAGCAACTGAAAATGATCAACTTTCACTGTTTTGTTTATCTTCCAATCTCATCTTTTACTTTCACCATCTCATCGCCATCATCACGAGAATCATCATGCTTTCAGTTTTCCTCTTCAATGTTTCTACGTTTTAATCTTTTGTTTTTTTATCACTTTGAATTACAGGCGGAGGAGTTGGAAGGAAAGTTCAAACAATGGGAAAAGATGATAATGATAAAGAAGGAAAATGAATGAAAAAAGATGAGAGAAGAAAAAATAAGCTCAGTTTTTTTCCTTTGCTTTTAAAACTGAAATTCCCTGTAAAATAGCAATTGTTTCTTCATTCTACTTCTCGGGTTTTTGTTTCTTTCCAAAAGACTGGTTCCTTTATTGGTAAAATTTGCCCTGGTAAAGGAAAGAATCAACAAGGTTAACTTTTTTTTCCTTTGTCTTTTTTCCTACCTTTCAATGCACCTTCATCTCTTGTTGTTTCACCTAAAGGCTGTTGAAAAGACTAAATTGAAGAGTTGAACAGAAAAATAAAAAATATCGAGAAAAAGAACAAAAAAAATGAACTGATGAAAAATCAAGAATATATCAAATGATTGGTGAACCATTTAATGGTAAATTGTTTTCCCTCATAACAAGGTATTAACTTCATCTTGGTCAATTTCAAGATAGATACTTGAGTCTTCAGGATTACATGTTGACCAAGGAATGCATAGTTAGTTGGTTTTTTTCATTGCTTGTTACTGTTGAGATGAAACTTGAAGACAAAACTCTTTAGCTAATGATTCAGATTAACAGTTTATCATGCTGATGATAATGATGTTTTGGTAATGATCTGAATGGGTTAAGAAAGTAGAGAAAATTGTTTACCAAAAGAAAAGCCTTAAAGGTAAATCTGTATATTTTTTTATTTTCATCTTTCTTCTTTTTCTTTTTGCATCATTTTTACCATTTTTACATGAACTTATCCTGATGGGATAAATGATCATTTAAAGTGATCGGAAAATTTTGTACCTCAACATTTGAACTCCTCAAGGCTTTCAAAATGCTTGGGTTTTCAAAATTTGTTCAATCACATTTCACAGGGAATCCAAATTTACTGTTAATTTCAGGTTGCTTTTATTTTCAACTCACCTTGGAATGATTCTGTCCCAGTTGTCCAAATTGTGTGAATATTTAAAAGTAAATTGAGTTGAATGTAATACCAATGAATTGACATTGTATTGAAAATAAGTCAACTAAGTATTTTCATAGCAATTTATGAAACCTTTTTTTCGGGTCAACTTTAGGTCCAACTGTGTAAAACACTTGAACAATCAATATCTTTTCATTTCACGGTTACGATGGCACAAAATAAGGTTCCTATTTATGGCTAAGAGACTTGATTAAGTCACATTTTCATTGGAAATTGTTGCTGGACTGAACTTGACCAGAGATTGATCATGAATCATCACAAAAATAAAGTTTACCTTGGCTGGTCATGAAGTCATTGGTGTTTGAAGTGAAATGCAAGTGATTTACAATTGAAGTATGTAAACATGTTTACTGCTCATCAGAATGTGCTGTGCTCAATGAGTTTCAGGGGGAAATTTTGTTCAGACGCATGACTGGTAAGGTTGATCAACTTAACCAACTCATCATCAGTAAATAAAATCAACATTAATTTTATTCATTTTCAAACTGCAATCTTTTCAGCCAGATTCTGGGTGAATATTTTTTTATTAGCCAAATATTTGGTGAAATTCTAGGCCTTTTATTTATGCAAATTCAACTAAATTAAATGTTTGCTTAAACTGATTTTATAATTTTGTTTTTCTTAACAAAAAATGTTTAGTTTTAAATAATCATTTATATTTACGATTGTTGAGTTACCTTTCAATTCACTTTCATTGCTCGAACTGCTCTAAGTCTATTAGTCTTTAAAATCTCATTTGGAAATTATTTGAGATTTTACTTGAATTTTCTTGATAACAGGAAAAGTTCAGAATCAAACTGTGGCTCATTATTCAAGTCTTTGATTCATTTTATAACCCTTTATAGCAATTGAAATTTTCAACAAAAAATGGCTTATATAAATGATGGTAGATGGCAGCATAACTACTGTTTTGATTTGCCGGTTTTTTGGTTAACGGTTTATTGTTAACCAGAATTAGGTTTCATCAAATGGGTTTGTTTCAAATTACGTTAGTTTTCAGGAAATCTGGTTAGTTATTAATTTAATTGATTTTTAGATAAAATGTTTGATTAATTAAGTGTGTTTAGGCGTACTGTGCCAAAACGTCTGGAGAATCTGAAATATGATCAAAGGTGGCATTGAGCCATATCTGGTAAGTGGGTTTAGCTGATATAAAAAAAATATACTAACAAAAACTAAATATAACAAATATGATTTAAAACAATAGACTAATAACAACAAAATTTCCTGCTTAACATTATTTAAACAGAATAATGACTAACAAATAAACGAACTTGAGACTCGTTGAGAGCGAAAAAAATTTTAAAATGTTCCCCTAAATGTACGAAAACAAACTTACAATGCTTAAGCCTGTAAATCAAAATATCCTTATTTCTTATAAAAATGTTTTGTTAATCTCTTGTCTTAATTTTATTTTGACAGTTCTTTGGAATTTGTGATTTCATCGGTGTTTCAATGTGCATCAAAATTGGCATGTAATTTTGATTATTCAAGCTTTTGTTGTAAATTTGGCTCGACGCTGTTACATTACGCTCTAATGTTAACAATGGTGTTTCATTGCTTCATTTTTGGCATCTTAATTGCAGATCGATTGAAATAAGTTTTAAATTTTACTTACTTTGAGTTAAAATAGATCCTGATTCCGATCCTTTAAGTGATTCTTTGGATTTCTCAGGTTCTACAGTGGAGGAGTAAATTGAGAGTAAATAATCGTTATTATGGTTTAACAAAAGGCTTAGTAAATAATGGATACACTTTCAAGTGCAAGCTTTGTTAATGTAATTTGGATTGGAGTAAATTTCAGTCATAATGTAAATTTAATTACCTGTGGAGGGTATTTCAAGTGGATTATGAAGTGATGGTAAAGTTTCAAAGAAAAATCGACCCTTAAAACCTTGACCAGGAAAATGGCTTTTACTAAGAAATTGAATGTACAAATCAGGTCCCGTTGATACTAATTCAACAAATGTATTGGTGTTACAAAGTTGACCGATAACTGGTCCCGACTGATTGCCCCCATCATGGACATAAATCACATCTGGACTATTCAGACAACTATCAATTTGGAGACGAAACAAGGAGAAAGTAAAGGAAAAGACGAAAAAAAATCATAAATTATTCAATAATCAAGTGAAATATGGTAAACATATTTTGACACAATCATATTTATCATCGCTTATAAATAATCTACACTCTCCACCATCTTTTCATCATAATTATAACCTAAATAGCAAAAGGAATTACCAGTTTTACAAATTAATTTGATTAATATCAGCAAAAATTTTCGTCATTGGTTAACACTTTGCTCTGCTCCATCTTTTTCACATTATCATTGATTTAATTTTATTCACATTATAATGGATGGAGATGATACTGATGATAAACATCCATTGCCTACAACTGTTATTTTTTTACTGCTGTTGCTATTCGTTTTACAGTTTCCCATGTATTTAATCATCTTTTTAATACTTTAGGCCAACAAAATCTGGCAACTTTATCATGAAAAACTATTTATCTAACATGGAATCTGAATTATCTGTTTGTCTTGCTTTCTCCTCTTCCTATGTACATGGATAACTATCAACATTGGCCAAAAGTGGAAACCATTCTTGCTCAATCAATACAATTAGTGTTTAACAGGCACAAATTCATTAACCAAATAAAAGCTTAACAACCCTTTAACTCCAGCTAATCAAAGGATTTCAAACTTTTTTCCATTGAAGTTGCCTGATACAACTCAATCATTGTGTTTCAACCTTTCAAAGTCTGACTCTAGATTCAACTTGAAAATCTCTTGTGCAAAAGACTGTTAATTCAAAATTTAAACTTGAATTATGCGCAAATCCAAGGTCTTGATGGCAATTTAATTTCACGATCAAAGGATTTTCCCTTCAAAATCAAATGCAACTTTAAGGATATTTGGAAACGTTCAATCGCTTAATCTAAAGCGTGAATTAAACCATCAACTAAGTAGCCATTTAAACTGTAATTAACCCTAAATTGTCTTTTAATTTACTCTTTAATTTTCCCTTCATCTCTTAAAGTATAATTAAATAGTAAATTACAATGTTTCTATTTTTATTCACCAGAAAACAAAAGGTTGATTAATTACGGATTGGAAATGTTGATAAATTGTCTGTGCACATTATACTTGACTGGATAAATTGAAACAACCCAAAAACAATTGAATTTACCAAATTAACCAGATTCCCTTCTCTGGTTTGAAGGCACAATTTGGATTCCCTTTTAATTTGACAATTGGCCAACAACCCAAAATGCAATTGGAAACGTGAACCGAAACCTTCAACTGATTTTGTTTTCAACTAACCATTGAATTGAATGGAAATATCGTAACTTTATATTCATTTTTGGTAATGCAATACATTGGAGAGACAACATTTGAACATGATTTGGGTTTCATCTTTGTGGTCCTTTTTTTGGATTATTATTTCAAAGCTTATGTTGAATGGTAATTATTGGTAGTAAAATGATTTACTTGTGATCAATATTTGAGAAGCAATTACATTTATTTGATCAAAATTTACAGATTGAGAAACATCAACATTCACAGTTGAACCCAAACCCGCCAATTGACACCATTTGTGAGTCAACTTGAACATCAATATAACCATAAAAACCTTTCAACTGTTTAATTTAAACGCAACTTTAACTATAAATCAAACAGAAGCACAATTAGATGGATATAAATTTAGTTGAATATTTGTAATGAAAATATCTTTATTGAATAAACCATTAAAAGAGATTCCTGTTGGATTAATATGTTTATCCAATGATTTCCGATTCATCCACTAATGATATAACCTTTTTTATTGATACATTTCCTATCAAAATGTTTCCCATGTCAAAATGCATGAAAGTTTCACCAGAAGAAAGAAGAAAAAAATGATCAATGATAAAGATTGGTAAACATGATTTGCTGAGAAAACAAGAAATTGCTCATTTTGGCATCAAATACAGACATCTTGAAAACACTGATTGTTTGAATTGTTGAGATCGATTTCCAAATGTGAATAACAATCTTCTGATTTATTCACAATTAATCTTGAAATTTCCCTGCCAACATCCATTCCAACTTAGATCAGTGAAGAGAAATAAGAAGCTTCAAAAAGAGATTCAATTTTGAAAGATTTTTCAATCTAACTCTTTTTTTCTCGCTCATTTTTTCCACCCAACTTCAGTCTTTTGTTGTAAATAATATTGAATAAAAACATTTATTTATATTTATGATTGAATTACACATTATTTTGACAAGTTGGACAATCAAATGGCCTCAAAATCAAATCCATTACTGTGAGTGTGCAAGCAATAAAATGTACTGATCAAGTCATAACAATTATCTTGCGTTTAAACACTAAAAGATTTCAGTTTTCTCAATCTTTTTTCCTCTCTCTCTTCATTCAGTGTTGAACCAATCAATATTAAATCTCATGATAATAAAAAATGAACAACATGATGGAGGAAATAATAGAAATGATAAAGAAAAGAAAAAGATTTGAATTGAGTTCAAAAAAAGTACGATAATAATGTAAGAGTAAATGATGACAATGGAAGTGTTAAAATTTTGACTTGAAATGAATTATTATAAATCATTTCCATTTACAATAAAGTGACTAAATCATTTTAGTATAATCATGAAAATGTGATCCTGAAAATATCATGTAACTGTAATTGAATAGTTACAATCAATCTATTGATATGGTTCATGATGAAAAATGAAAAACAGAATAGCATTTTAATGAGAACCTGTAATTGGAAAGAAAAACCTTCTTTTTTTATTCCTTTTTTTCTCGCTTTTTTCAAAATTTTCATTACATTTTTTGCATTTTTTATCCATTTTCAGAGCCAAATTGGCCAAAAAAACTAAATTTTGTTATTTTTATTTGAAGCATTTAAATTTAAAAAATAAACAACTTCACTAACAAGGTAAAGGATAGGAAATGTTATTGAATATTGGACAAGGAATATGAAAAATGTAAATAAACAGCTCAAGTTTTGTCATGCAAGAAACTAATCGATAAATAAGATTGTTGGATTTGATTTGAATCAATGATCAATTCAAGTGTTATTTTCAGTCAACCATTTTGTTGCACCTTGAATTTGACATTTGAATCTCTTCTTATCCAAAAGAAAAATGTTGACCAAAATGGGTTTCGATGTGAGAAATAAAATTACATTGAAAATTGCTTTCATTTGTTGGGTTCACCCACTCACAAGACTGGAATGTTTAACACTAGACTTTATCATTTCCATTAATTTTTGATCAGATTATTTATTTGACAATTATCATTCAATAAACCCGATTTATCAAATCTTTTGTGAGATTTATTAATTTTTGTAGATTTTTCTATGAGCCGGTCGTAATTAGGGAATGACCCCTGGTTTACAGTTGAATATTCGTATGTTGTTTTGATTTTTTAGAGTTTATTTTTGATTTTGTTAAGTTGATTGTTATATTTGTCATGTTTAATCAAGAAGAGTTTAAAAAATCATTTACCAATGAGGAGCAACGAGCTCTAGTCAAATACATGTTCCTTCAAAACTATTCTTGTGGCTTGATTCACCATAATTTGGTAAAATCGCTTGGAAAAAAAGCCATTTCTAAATCTACCATTGGATTGCTTGCCAAGAGGTTTAAAGCTGGTGATTATTCAATCAACGACAAAAGAGGTGGTAGTCAAAGGGATCCTGGTCTGAACAAACGACGAGTTAGAATGGTTCGTGAAAAGCTAGGCGAGCGACAAGATTGGTCGACAAGAACCCTGTCAGAATCTTTAGGTTTACCCAAAAGCTGTGTGGCGAGGATTTTGCGAGAAGACCTTTGTATGCACAAAGTTCTAGGCCAATGGATACCTCAGAGCAAAGACGAGTGATAATATAAATGCCGATGAAAAATTAATTTAATGGACCAAAATTGGAGAATAATTTGTTAAAATTTGTTAAAATTTGTAAATCGTTTCAAGCTGTTGAATGACTTTGTTATTATTTTGTTAAATATAATTTATTTTGCATTATTATCCTTCAATTTGTGCCACAATAATTTAGAGCAAATCTCGATCATAGCAGCTATTTCATAGCTAAAATTGGAGCTTTATCGGTTAATTATATTGTCGTTTGGGTTGATGAAAATCGAAGAAATTAGTTTAGAAAAGAAAAATTTGAGACTAAAATCGACTGAAAAGTCTTCTAACTCAATGTATTTCCAATGTTTAACAGTTAAGGTTTGATGTTGCACGAAAATTGAAAGATTTTTATGTTTCTGTTTAATGTTTCTTTTACCAAAAAAATGCTTTCCTATTACAACGAAAGTTCAGTAATTCTAATCGATTGGTTAAACTGAATCGATGAATATCAAGTTAACATGTCATCAGTATTTGATTTTGTTTCTCTATTCCTCATCATTCTCAAGGTAAATAACAAATTGAAACCAATTTAGCTTCATCAGAGTAACAATTTGATTAGAAACAATTGACTTTTTTTATTTACAGGCAAAAACAGAGTAAAATGCTGAAACTGCTCAAAGTGAATAGATGATGATGCAGGAAAAGGAAATGAGAATAAAAAACTAAATCAAGATGAATGGTAATGGGTGAAGGAAGATGGAAAAGAAGAAGAAGAGAAAAGAAGAAATAATTATCACAATTAATACAAATTCGTGCGAATTTGAACAATGAAAGATTCCATAGACTTTGAGATAGCTTTTAACTCAATTAATGTTCATACCCTTGGGTCGTTCCAGTAAAGGGTTGACAGTTTTCCTTCATTTTCATTCTCTTTTTATCCGTTCATTTTAAATTCTTGTTTACCCTGAGTTCATCTTGAGCCTTCAATCCAAATGCAAGATTGACAAACAAGCAATAAAACTAAAAGCAACTTTACATAATGTTTACCTAATTTTGTTCATCAACTTAGCACTTGGAGAAGCAATTACTTTACTTGAAAATCAAACAATTAAACAGTTCAAGTTGAGGTTGAATTATTGGTTAAAAAATATTAGTTGAAAATTAACAACATTGGCCATCAGCAATAAAGTCATCAGTTGAGAGATGAGAGGACATTTGAAACATTGATTCCAACATTTCCTTTGAATCAATTTTTTTTCCATGTAACAGTGATTAACCCTTGATTAACAAGTTGAACGATGTAAGTGTTATTGTCAAACCCATTGTTTGACCCCAATTTCATCCCTTAGCCTTACTGCCAATCAATTAAGCAAAAAGATGAGTTAAGCTGTTTTTGGGTTTTGCCTGACGACAAGTAAAGCTTTTGATATCAAAAGCAAAACCGTCAAGTTTGGAGTGTTTCAACGTAAATACACAGTTTAACTGATGATTAGCGTTGAAACAAGAAAGGTAACAAGAAACAAAACAAAATATAATAAAGGATAAAATGATTTTGACAAGCTCATCAAGCAATACAGATTGTTTTTCCTGTCAACAATTACTTAACCCGGTTATACTTGCTCTTTATGATAACCTCAATTTTTCCCCAGACATTTTTCACTCCCAATTAAGCACAATATTTTCATGTATTTTCATCCATTCTGTCTTCTTTCATTTCTTCTCATTATGCTAATATAGTTTAAATTTTGTCATCTCTTCAATTGCATTCCAATTTACTAATTTAAATTAATCTGAGAGAAAATTTTGACCTTTTTTTGCCTTCTCTTTGTTTTCTGGTTAAGCATACCTTGATGATGATTGAGTTGGGAAAAGGTTTGGTAAGGGAATGGGAAAAATTTTCTTACCTTGAATCACTTCTTTGAAGACGAATGTGTTCAAAGACAAGTTTAACTCTTTCACTTGGTTGACCAACAAATGTATACGAACAACGAACTCCTTTCGGGTATGTCGATGGATATTGAGGCGAATAGAAGCGACCTCGAGTTATCCTTTCATAGGTTGAGCTAACATTCAGAGTTCCATTTGGTTCGCTCGAATTGATTGTTTGTAAACTTTCAAAAATATAATTACAATTTGAGTTTTCCTCTAAACGTCCATCAGTCAGGAACAATTCTGTCCAGAAAAGATCGAAGAAAAATGTGCTTTTTTAGTCAAAAGACGAATACAATTTACAGTAAAAGTCAATGGGAAAAATATCATCAAAATAAATGCTAATCTCAAGAAACTGTTCAACTCCACATTAAACACTTCAAAACATTCGGTAAAAGTGAATCAAAGCTGAATCAATCGACTTAATACACTTTAAGCTTTGAACCTGAAAAGCGAACAAAATTACTGAACATTTTTAATTGAAACCGATTTCTGGTTCATTTGAGTTTTGAAAAAATGGAATTTTTTTACTCAATTGAAGAGGAAAAACACTTTTTGTATTACAACTGATTCCTCTTGATTAATACACATTCAGAAAACTGATCAACATAAAAGTGAAATATTTTTACTCCTTAATATTTTATCCATTCACTGTTAGATATCATTTCATGTTCACTTAAATCTTTCAATATTTCATCAGATTTTTCAACTCAACAGCTTAATAAAATCATTGTTTAACCCTTGAAAGCATTTGAAAATTTCTGAAACTCAAAAGATTGATATTATCACCAGAAATGCTTCAATGTGCACTTTTTGCCTTGAAAACTTCACTCAAAATGACAACATTTTTATTCAGCTAATTTTGCATAATTTTTTTCTCTTTATTCCTCAACATTATCCCGATCAGAATTATTGATATAAATAAATTTCTCATTTCAAGAGGAACATTTTTTGTTGAAAAGACGAAAAGTGTTTTAAATTTCAAAATTTACAGTTTTCTGGTTCACTTTAGGTTGAATGTTTGTTTTCAACCAAAGAGATGCAAAAATTATAACAACTCACTTGAAAAACTATTGAAAATTTGGGTAAAAAATGAAGGAAAAAAAGGTTGAAGCTCATCATGGAAAATTTTTCCTCTAAATTATCATGATAATTGCAAAATCGTAAAATTTTGTTGAATTCAATTTCCAAAAGATGAATAAGCAAAAGATCATTTAACATTCAATGAGCTGAAGGAAAAACATTTTTGTTTTACATCAAAACCCAAAAAAAACCCAAAAATTGGAAACATTTGGAAAGAGAAGAAAAGAGGAAAAATTTCAACCTGCGTGTTTATAAACTCATCATTATCATGATAACTGATGATGGTAATGATGAATAAAGTGGATTAATCAATGTTCAATTGGCTAAAAGAGGAAAAGACGTTAAAGCTTCTCAAAAATTGTAAACTTGAAAAGTGAATATTAAATGATTTTTGTTTCTCTTGCTTGGCACAATCAATCAAATATGATAATACAATTTCAGTCCATTTTTCAAGTCTCCATGAATCTCATTGTATTCATCTTGATTCCCTTTGATAAGCTGTTCTCGATTAATTGACATTCACAAGTTGATAAATGTTCACCCAAAAACTGATTACATTATTATCGTTATTATTTGGGTTTCTCACGATAAACAAACCCAAATCAAGATGCAGGTTTACCTTAAGGTTATGTTTCTATTAGCATTCACTCATTGTTATGTTGAACCATTTTTTCTCAGCTTTTCTGTCTACTCAGGTACTTCTGGTAATCATGGAGTGAATTGAAATTGTAACCAGAATGGAACAAATATTTCAATGTTGATAGATAAATTTTCTTTGTTACATTTTCTTTTCGATTTTTGGTATTCCTTTTGCTGTATTTTCTTGATTTTGTTTTGTATTTGTTTGGTGAATGAAATTGATCCTGATGGATTTGGAAAATTGAAAATTCAAGTCTCAAACGGTGCTTTTGGTGAACATAAAATTATCAGAATGTCAGGTTAAAAAGAATAGAAAAGTCATTTTCATTCTGTTTTATTGTTACATTCAAGTTTCCCTTTTACCTCATTTAATATATTTTTTACTTTTCCTCTTTACTGTTATCATTTTTCAATCATGATTTATCCAACAATGAAAACTGCTTCATGATGATTATCATTGTATCACTTTAATCACACAGAGAACAGAATCTCCAAGTTTCATTGGATTTACCAGAAAAGCTGAAGAGGTTAAGAAAGTTACATTAACAATGAATATTAAAGGTAAAATCTGGTCAACTCTTGCCAAATGTTTTAGGTTTAAAATTGGAAAATTTGAAGACCTTAAAGACTCTAATGTTTGTGATTAAGAAACCATTGTAGGATTAACACTGAAATCATGAAAGTTGAAGACGTTTTCACCCAACTGATAGTTTCTTACGTATAATGAACATGTTAACTATAAACATGAGTGAACAGTCAACTGGACTCAAACAAACCAAGTGAATAAACTTGACTCAGTGAACTGGTCAACAATCAATCCAATAATTAACAAACCAGAAACAATAAATGTATCTTGAAGAAATGGAGAAATGAGAAAGATTGACAAAAAAATAGACAAAAAACTGAACCTTTCAATATTTGGAAATGATTAATTAGCTAAATTAAGATTTTGATAATTTGCTTATTGTTTGGTTAAATACATTTACAGATGTTATTTATTGGAGGTAAATGTATCAATTAGGGTTGGATATGGAAAAATATTTTTGGGTTAAGTTGGAGGAAAGGGGAAAAATGTTTGGTGAATGCTTTTGTCAGGAAATGTTTAGACTTACTTTTATCGAGAAAACGATAAGTTCCTCTGAATCCAGTGTTATTACCATTTCTCCAATCGGAATGAAATTCAAACATAAGGCAAGAATCAGATGAATAATGGGTTTGTTCAATGTCAGCTATTTTACCGCATATAACTTGATTCCAAGGAGTTTTCTCGTTGATAGCGTATTCGTTAAGGTGAAGGTAAAGTTTAACAAAATCACCATAAACACATCTAATGAAGATAATCATGAAAAAGAGAGAGAAGAAGACATTTCAGGTTAAAAAGAAAAGAAAAAAAAGAGAAAATATCAATTTTCCATTTCTCATGAGTTGTTCACTCCCAGCCATTTTAAATGTTGTAATATGATAAAAGATGAAATTGGATAAAATGTTGAAGGGATTTAGAGTTTATCTGTTCATCTTGATTGTTCAAAGTGATTCTCATAATCGTCAAAGCTAATTCTTGTTTACATTATCGACTGGACACGAAAAATGAGTTACAATGTGAAGACGAAAAAAGTAGCGAAAAACAAAAGATTTTTTCCTTTTTCTTCTTTTTTCTTCTTCTGACAGGGAGAAAAAAGCAAATAGAAACTCTGATGATGTTGTCAATGATGATAATGGTTAGGATGACTTGGATGATGATGGGTTGGGACATGAAAGAAAATTGGTTTGTTCAGGAGGAACATCGATGCTGAAATAGATTCGTTCATCCATAAAAATGCAAGTTAAGGTCAATCATTTCTTTGTTTTTTCCCATTTTTTGCAAACTCTTTCCTCTACCTTTTCCCTTTAATCATGATTGATGATCATTTGTATCGTTAATTGACCAATTTAACCCAATTTCACGGAAAAAACAATTGTTTAAATGTTGACCAGAAATTGAAAAATATTGAAGTTTACATCTTGTTTCGTGTCTTTAACATCTTGAAAAGTGAAACTTGATCAATTTTTTCTGCTTATTTTGATCTTCTTACATTTTCATTTTTCTTATTTTTCTACTTGTTTCATCTTTCCTTGCTTCTTCATGAATTGAAGTTGATATCATGTTTGGAATGATGAAAGATTAGAAAGATTCAAGATTAATCAGGAAGAGATGAAGGAAAGAGGAAAATGCTTTGAAATTGGTTAAAGTGCATTTCAAAGGATGAATCTGAAAATTAAGTGTTGATGAGAAGATGAGTTTTTTTTCTTGGTTACAATGAAATTGAAAAAAAAGACTTTATTCAGCTAAAAATGTTGTTAAATAATAGTTTCTGTTTTCGCCAGCTTAACTTGTCAATACAAGATGAGCCAAGTTGAACTGGGTTAACCTTGCAACCATTTTTGGATCAATCTTTTGGGTTAAATTGATTTCTGGTTTGCTTCATCTTTCCCATTCATCTACTCATTATCATTTTTATCCTCTTCATCATCCTCATTATAACTCTACTTTGTATGCTTAAATCATGAGATTATATTACTCGATCATTCCCTGAACATTCATGAGCCATTCATTCATTCATTCATTTTCATGGAAATAATGACCCATCAGTAAAGTGAATAAAATTGTGACGATGATTTGCTTGTGAAAGACAATTGAAACTAATTCATCTTTTTCTTTCCTTCATTTTTGTCATTTCATTTCTCACATCATTAATCAATTAATCATCGCTTGAACAGGTTAATTATTGCTATTAATTGAATAAACTTCGATACTTTGGCGAACATTAAAGAAGATGAAATGATTAAGGAATCCAAGAAACTGAATTTACATGTTCTCGATGCTTCAACTTGCAGGTTGCTAATCAAATTGTTGATCACAATTTCATGAAAAGACTTTCAAAATGTTGAAGGAATATTTTTGCAATTAAATGAGGAATGTCTGTTCCTAAACTCAAATTACCATGAGAACAAGATTGGAAAGACTTGAATTTGAAAGCAGAATTACTTTTTATGATGAAAACTACTTGCTCTAAGACATTGAAATGTTTTCAGTTGATACAAAGTGTTCGGGTTTAGACCAAAAACCAATTTCCAGATCAATATGAGTTTTATAAGCTTTTTCAGGTTAAAGATATGCTTTCTATTAATAACGAAAGCATATAAAGCAATGTATTCTTGGAAATATTATGAGTTTTCTCAACATAAACACATCATCCATCATGATCCTATTTTTTCTTGTTTTGGTTAACAATTTTTCATCTCCATTCAACATGGGATCGAAGGTTATTTGTTTGTAAATTTTCATTACAATAACTTATTATATTAATGTTATATTTACCTAATTAAAGGGAAACAATTTATCAATAACCTTTTGAGTTGCCTCTTAACACATTCACTGAAACACACATGAAACATTCACATTGAAATGGAAAAGGGAAACATTTGGAAGATTCAAAATTTAAAGCTTTTGGGTTCATTACTGAAAATCACGCTTTCTTATCAAGATACCGGTTTTCAACCAGATATCGGAAACCCATTCATGTTATAAATTATGATTATTGACAAAATCATGAGAGTTTGGCTTTTAATTGAAAATTATGGGTAAAAATGGGTTTTCGTGTTATACTTACGCTAAATGTGTCTTTTGAACATCAAACTCATCAAATGTTACTTCAATTATTTGATCTGGACGAGCTACAAAATTGTACAAAAGGCAGTTTATGTTTTCCTCGTAAGGAATTGGCCAGTTGGGCGAGGTAAAAACGCCATACTCTTTACCATAAGTGTCCTGAAAGGTAATACACTTACAGTCAGCACCAAGAGTTGATATGGGATGAACCAGTAAACTAGAGATGATAATGTAAACACAAAATAACCAAGAATAACATTGGATCATGGAAATATTTAGCAATGTTAAATACATTGAAAAAGATTTGTTATTTTTCCTGGTTTTCTTGGTTCAAACCTAAATGTGAAACAACATTTTCTACTATTATTTAAACTTCTATTTAACTCTTTTTCTTCTTCTTTTCCTGCCAATGATAATACACAATGGAAACCATGATTTTGAAAGATTCCAAGATGAGTACACAAACACACAGCTGTACAAGAGGGTTGAAGAAACACCAACAATCTAATGAAATATTATCCAATATAAAAAGACACCAAAATGGGTTAACATTGATTCACTGGTCACCAAACAATGTGAAAGTTGACAGGTTTAACCATTTAATTTGTTGATCACAATTGAATAGAAAGGGATTGATTTGGATAAAGTGAATTGAATTAATCCAAGAAGGAAAGGCAAACATGGATAAAGTGATGAAGCCAACGGTGAGACTTGTTTAGGTTGAAAAAAGGATGACAAACCTCGTGATAATCATATTCAATTGATTTTTTCTTGTCATTGGTAAAAATGAAAAGGTTTTACTTTGATAGACTGTTTAAGTTAATTAAACATTAACCATGATTAAACATGACCATTATCCTAAACAATTGAACTGCACATTTAAATAATTATAACTAATTCAACGTTGATGTAATAATTTTTCATGTTTCTTTGGCGTTTACCAGTCAACTTGTTATCCTCAGACTTGGTAGGATTTGAACAACAACATTGGGTGCGAGTGCGCATTTATCAAGTAAAATAACAACCAAAATACCAATACATTGAATGTTCATGCAATTCAAAGTGTCTCCAAAGTCAGGGAAGAGAGGGAAAGCAAGATGATCAAGATGATGATGGAAGTAATGATGAAAGTGATGTTGAGGCAGCAAAAACAGTACAAAAGAGAAATAATAAGAATACTTTTATATAGACAGTTATATATATAATCAACTGGGAGTGCGCTTTATCACAATTCAATTTTTTTCAGTTTTCAGTCGCCATCTATTAAAGTGTTTTATCAGTTCCATTGGGATACAAATCGATACCAATTTTTTCGGGTTTTCTCAAGCATTTTGGCTTTTCTTTTCTTTTTTGGGTTTTCTTTGGGTTTTCTTAGGTTCTTTGACTTTGTTTGGTTACTTGTTGTCAATTAATTTACAAAATTAGTTTATGAGTGACAGCTTCTAATTTTATTGTACTTTTCAATGTTCATTTATATTAAACATGATAATGATAATTGGCTTAATTTGATTGCATGGGAACGTGACAAATTCATGTTAAATGGCTTTTGTTTGCTTCTGATGAGTTTATTTTCACTTTGCTTTTAATGTTCATCTTGTAAATCATCATTTTTTTGTTCATTTCTTTTCATTTCTTTCCGATTCAGATTATTTTGCCTTTTCAAATTGACTTTTATTTTCAACAGTTAACCAGATCATGCAATCCATTCAAATTGGTAAAAGACTATCATTTTGGGTTGAGTTGCCATCAATTGTAGTCATTTGAGAAAGCCAATGGTTAACATGATTTTTGGGTTTCATGTTTTCCTTTAATCTGGTTTTGTGATAAATTGACTGGATTGGTTACTGGCTTTCAAAATGTACCCAAAATTTGGTATTTTTCTTGAAATATGATCTTGGATTTGAGATGATTTGATAAGTTTGTTTTGTGTGTTCAGTCAAGATGCAACTAATGTAAAATTTTATCAAATTTGGAGCCACAAAATTTGGTAACACTGTAAAATGGGTTTGGAAATATTTGGAAGACAAAATTCGTTGCTCATTTCATTTGAAGTCATTAAATGGCTTGTTTAGGTCTTTTTTTATCATCATTATTCTCATCTCTTCTTCAGGTTTCGGGTTCAGTTGATAACATCAAGGAAATTGTCATCAATCAGCTTAACCACATTACAAGTTTTTCAAGCTTTTTGTCTTGATAATAAATTGACTTCACATTTTGGGTTTCTGGTACTAGCTTTAGGTTTTAGGTTTACGGTCAAAATCTGCTAACCTCAAGAATCCATCTTTAAGTGGTTAAAATTTTGTGACCATTTCTGGTCATTGATTGATCACATATTTCCATTGTTTTTGATCAGTTAATTAACCAATCGTTTAGGTAATGTATGATTATTGATGAAATTTAGTTGATTAATATAAAACGATGATTCCCAATGGTAAGGTAAAACTGTTAACTGTCAATATTGAGCTATGAAATAATGATTTTAGCTTTTCTGTCTTACTGTATTCAATCAAATGCTGCAAGGTTTATGAGATAAAATGAGACAAATTGATGATGATGAGGATAATGGTAGTGCTGATGTTGGTTATGGTGATGATGGTGAAAGATGAAAGTGATTTAGTGGAAGTGGAACCATGTAAGTAGGATCTATGGGTCATTTACCATGCCAAATACTGGGAAAATAATGGAAAATTGTGAAAGGTTTTTACTTGTTTCTTTCAAACAATTGATTTTGATTTTTATGTTTTCGATTCTTTATCGATATAAATCAAAGGTTAAAAGAGGAGAATAAATAATTTACAATAATTAAACTTTGATAGAAGTGTTTGACTTTGGTTTGGGCTTTTGGGTGTATGCAGTGTAATTAGATTGTAAATATTAAAGTGAAAATCTGTGAACTTTCAATTGAGTTGACAACATCAAGATTTACGAGCATCTTGATGGTACATTTCCAGGTTATTAGCTTTTCTTAGCTCAAGATGATGTGGCTTTTGTTGGCATTTTTTCTCCATTTCCATTGAAAAGCTGTCAATGAAAATGATCCTGACTGACGAGCTAATGCTTTCCAATGCTTTGAAAATATTGAAAACATATTTGCTTTATAATAGACAAAATATGTTCTCACTTGTACATTATCGATCTTTAAAGTTTTTCTTGTCTTCTGGTTCAGTCTCAAATGGTTCAATCACTGTCATTGTCACTAACGACTGAACACCATGATACTTGTAATGGCTGTGAAAGGGATTCAAGAAGGATTAATGAAGGTAAAGTAATAATCAAAGGTATACCAAGTAAACAATACATTTACTTGCATTAATAATTGAAACTGGTAATAAAAGGCACCTAAAAATTTTAGATGAAACCCATTTTAGGTAGAAAGAAGGTAGATCAGGCCATATTGTTTTACATTTAACGTTGACATTTTGATAAACTAGTTGCTATCAAATAAAATTGAGTTAAAAATTGAGAGAACCAGAAAAATTGTAATTTCATTGCTGTCACCATATTACTGGCAGAAGATATTCCGATCTTCCCACGGATCATACTGAATAAACGGAGTAGATCCTTGCAGATACTCTTATCGAGCATTGCTTAACAGCATGATCGGCTAATTAAGGCAAAGGGACAAGGATACAATAGCAATTACAAAAAGGAAAACAAAAAGCAAAAAAAATCAAATAAATGAGATAAACAATTAACACCAGAGCCGAAACTAGCCCCCTCTGTAGTTGACATTACGGGCTATGAGAAACAAGTTGTCTTGTTAACCGGATAAAGCGGCACATTTGAATGGATAAAGAGTGATTTATCAATAAACATAAAACGCATTATCTCCATAAATAAATATTAAGAATCCTGAAATGATAGGATAACACAAGTAGCATTAATTGATTTAAATTGAAGGTTTAATTGTTAATGATTAACATAATCACAACAAAAGATTACATTTAAAACGTAAGTTTAACATTTCACATTTGAAAAATGAGCAAACTGATAACGCATGTGTGCGCAGTAAAGCCTGAGCCAATCAGTGAAAAGAGCTGATTGGGTTTGAGCGTTATTAAAATAATTTTTTTGGTATTCATTGCTCACAACAGTTTCTATGTCTTTGTCTTCTAGTAAATTTTGTTTTTTTCTAGTGTTTCTTTTATAATTAATTTGATTATATAATTGTAACCATTGATTTTTCACCACCATTATTACTGTTCTCTATTTAATCTCAACCTTATAATTTGTGTCGCATTTTTAGATGGCTTGTGGGGCCATAAAGAGATCTCTTGAATGGGATCCGTTGAATACACCCTCACAAAGTAGCACTCCAAGTGCAAGGCCGAGTAAGAAAAGATGTCTTGTCCATCACAATTATAATCCCAACGGTTTCAGCGGACCTAAGGAAGCTTCACCGTTCGCTGATTTACATGGTAAATTGTCTCCAGGTTTGTATTAATCACCTTTTCTCTGCACCTTGCCTCACTCTATTTGAGGCAAAAAAACCATGTTCTCAACCCATAATATTAATATCCTGCTTATTCTTACATTCTGTTTTTTTCTCTTTTATTTATTTTTTTCTCTTGCTTTCCAGAAACCATCGCTTCTAATATTAAGGATGAGATGAAACGATTACAAAATAGGAAACAATTATATTACTCGAACAGTGGAAATCAACTTATGAGTTCACCCAATTCAGAGAGTAATTCAAATGAGTGAGTAGATTGCTATCCATGCACTCTTTTAGCTTAATATTCCATTTCTTATTGTGTTTTTTTCTCTCTCTCTCTTAGAAATGAAGCCTCAACATCATCTGAAGGTCAAAGTTTCCTTGGACTACGTTCACCATCTCGCCGTGATCAACCTTTATTTACTTTTAGACAAGTAACAATTATCTGTGAAAGGCTCCTTAAAGAAAGGGAAACATCGATTAGAGAAGAATATGATCGCGTCCTAAGCAGCAAGTTAGCAGGTACTATCTTTTAAATTCCACTTGTGGGTTTGATTCTAATCACTGTTTTATATTTTCTTTCCGACAGAGCAATATGATACATTTGTAAAATTTACATACGATCAGATACAAAAAAGATTTGAAAACGGGACAACACCAAGTTACGTTAATTGATCTTAACCATGAGCTAATCATGGTCAATCGGATGACAATTTACACTAAATGTGAATATACATTGTAATAAAGTTTCCATTTTTTTTGAATGATAATTGATGTTTACATAAATTAATGGGCTCAATTTAAGTTGAAAATTCATGTTAACTTGACAATTTTTTTAAGGTAGCTTAAAGAGTTACAATTACATCGGATAATAAGGCACAATTTGAAAATCCAGTTGAAACACATGAAAAAAGAAAAATGAAAATGAAAATATAATGAAATTAATACAATAATGAAACATAAGAATAGTTTCTCTTTTTAGATATCATTCGATATCAAATAATACAATAATTTATATCATCTTTGTAAAGCTTAGTTTTTGGAGAATAAAAAAACGACTAAACAAATTAAGGCTACTAATCTATAAATAATATATTTCAATAAATATCTGATTGGTTTTTCGTTTTATTTTTACTAGATTCTCATTGTTCGGATGGCAAAATAAGAATCCAGTGATTGGCTTTGTATGCTTTGTTAATGAGATTTGGATAAACTTATGATAAATTGTGCCAAAAAAATAATATGAAAAAATATGAATTAATGATAAGTGATAATAAAAAAGAGAGAGAATGAATTGAATCCGATGTGTAAACGGCCTTTTTTCAGCTTCCAATGTATTTTTCCATGATATTTGAAGGTTGAAAGGAAAAGAGCGTTAATGTGGTGATAAAATGCTTAGTAAGCTGGACAAGTAATCGAACTGCTGTGGATGTATTAGGAAAAGAGCATTTTCTCAAGCAGCAAATTACTTGGCGAATAAATAATAGACTTGAATTTCCATATTTCTTTATTCTTTGTCCTATCCTTTTTTAAGCTTGGATCAATATGGATCTTGGACTTGATTAACTTGATTATTCTCAGCTTCTTTTTTTGAAGTTGCCTTTTCAATGTTACTTTTATTCAACAATCTTCACTTGTTAGTCTTGGTAGAATCACAATCAGGATTCAAGATTTGACTTTCGCTCGGCTCGTCTTTTAGCTAATTTCGATTGATTAACAGGTTCTAAATTGATTGGCGGTGGTACATTGACAGCCTCAAAGACTCGACCCATGTTGGCTTTAATTAAACTTGCTTCTTGGTGGGATAGACTTGCATCAGACAATTTATCTCTTTTACGGATAAAATCATGATTTAAGACATTCTCGGCTCGATAACGTATTTTTGGATCAACCAAGAGCATTTTGCTCACAAGGTCCTGTGAAAATGAAAGAGACAAAATAGATAAATTAAATTTTAATCTCGAAATAATTTATAAACTAAAATATTTCACTTTAACTAAATCAAAAGCGAAGACAAGAAGAAAAGCTTATTGTTTAACAAATAATTTGTGTTGGATTGATGGATACTCCTTATAACAAATTAGTCGAAAAATAGCTTTCCTTCAAACAGGTAAAGGGTCAAAATAGCGAAAGCAATTAGAGAAAGACAAAATAGAGAATCTCGAATGAGCTAACTGCGCAAAAGACTAGAATACAGAATTTTCGTCTTTAAAGTTAGAATTGAAGACTTTATCGGTTTTTCGGCGCAGTGGATGCGCATCTCATTGGTATTCAGCTATATTATATAATAACATGATTGCTGAAGAATGATAATTTTAAGGTCACATTCTTTAGATATAAAGACACTGAGTCTTGAAATGATTCGCCGAAAATAAACTTCCTCGGTTTTGTCTCTCTATTTTGCTTTCGCTATTTTGCCATTCTCTGTCTTGTCTTTCTCGATCTTGATTCCAAACCTGCAAAACAAATTTGATTAAAGTAAAGTGAATTAAACCATTTAAATGAATCTAAGTTTAAATTCAATCTTACCTTAGCAGTTTCAGAAACTCTCCTCCAATTACCTGATTTGAGATCAAACTCTCCTTTACCAACTTTACCTAATATTGAATTTGGAGTATCTTCTGGTCCATTGGCAAAAGGAGTATGGCTATAAATAAAGAAAAGAGATTATTAAAGGATGAATAAAATTAAAAATTTTTAATTTGCACCAATTTTGAAAGCAAAGTCAATTACTATTGGAATTATTAATGGAAAATTAATGAAAAATCAATTTAAATTCAATTCCTACAATTCAGCCAGAAAATAAGATGAAACAAATATTTGAATGCAAAAATTGAGTGAGAATGAGAATAAATTGTCACGAATAAAATGAATGATTCGATATTGAAAGATTGATTAAACTAGTGAAAATACAGAACAGTAAATTGAATTGCTTTTCTGATATTTGATTGATGAATTTGGTTAGTTGAATATCCATCAACATTATCACCTATCCAAGTGAATAAGAATAAGAAGAAAAATTGAACCCAAAAATGGTAACCAGAAAAATTCATTAGATGAAAAATTCAAGGTGAAGATTAATTTAAAAATAAAGTTGATTTCCTGGTTTGGGTTTCCAAGTAATAAGTGAAGTAAAAATACAAATATTTATTCAAGTAAATTGATTTTTTTATGATTTGCCCATTGAAAGGAAAATATATTCACGTTGATCATTTTAAGCCATTGAGCTTACGAAAATCATGGAAACAATTAAACTTTCAAATTTCATAGGCTTTGATGAGAGTAAGTATTCACTTCAAGGGGAAAAAGGTTAACACCATGAGGTTACAATTAAATGATATTTTTTTCAGTTTCACTGTTGAGTCAAAGTTAATCAATTGAACCTCTTAACTGGTTTGACTTGAAGTTAGTTCAATAGAGTAAACATGATTTGATCAGCAAATTTGTGGTAAAAGCTTACACAGGTCAAGGTTTGGTAAATAAAATTATTAGGTCAACCTGATTGATGACAATTTTCTGACCATTTGTTATTAATAATAACAATACACTATCATTATGGTTATTGAATTTTGCTGTAAAAGCAATCAGAGAAACCAGCAATCAATGGAAATTGCAGACTACAGTTATCATGGTGAGATAAACCAATTGAGATTAGCTGAATAGGATTTAAAGATTAAATCACTTTAAAAGGACTGTTTTTGCTAATTACGACTTATTTTGAAATTCAATTTCAATTCAATTACAAGATAATTTTGGTTAATTGATCGCCAATAGCCTTTAAGCTGGGATTATTGGATAAGGCCAGTTAATTGCTAATTAAACTCAATGTCCATTACAGTGAAGATTGTTAAAATTGATTGATGAAAAGTTAATTATCAGAGAGGCATTTAATTAACTAATGGGTTGGTTTTCAAGAAGATAAATAATTTATTTCTAGAAGGCAATTAAATTTGATAAAATAGCAACAACCAAGAAAACATTTCTTAACGATAATTTTAATCCTTTCATCAGAATCAATTGAACTTAAGCATTGCAATGAAGTTAGTGAATAACATTGAAATGAAACAGACAGAACATTTTGTAAGAATAATTTTTAAATTCTTAAGTAGTTTTTTATCAAAGGATTTTCATGTTTGCATTGTTGAGCACGTACAACGAAGTTCGAACAAGAATTTCATTTAAAATGTTGGAATAAGAGAATGTGCAGAACTTTGACTTTCAGTGAGATTATGTGACTTGAAATTGTTTTATACTTTAAATTTTGAGCCTTAATTAAGCTAAATGTTTCCACTTTTTTTGTATAATTTATTTAATATTGAAAGGAAAGAATCCAAAGGATCCTTGAGTAAACTTGTTCAAGATCAGATTTACACTGCTGGGAGTGATTTTTGTTGAGTTCACTCCCAAGGACGAGAGCATTTAAATTGAATAAAAGAGTAGCTAATAAACTCAGACTGAGAGGATAATTTGTGAATAACAGAAAAGTAAACTACATGGTAAACTCAAGGATAACATGGAACATTGATTGAGAACATAATTACAGTTTATATTGATCGATAATTTCAAAGTAATAATCATGTTTATTTAAGACTCATCAGCTTTGATGAGCCATTTCAATTTATCAACCCAATAAATCTGTGCAAATCAAAGTTACACCTACAAATAGGAATTGACTCATTGAATAATCAATATTGTTTCATCAGTATTCATACAGAGTTCAGACCACTTTGAATTAAGTAATTGAAAAGTTGGTCATCACAGAACTAGATTAATCTTCCAGACTAAAGTCTTGATTCAAGAAAAGTCATTCAATTTTCTCGAAACTTGAAATTACTTTTAAATTTATGATGAAATGTGAAAACTTTCTAACCCTTGAATGTGTTGGAAAAGTTGAATTTGAAATTTAAATTTCAAAGTTTCAATCGATTCAATAGATTAACTTTTTTGTCTTATATTTAAATCACTTTTTTCCACTTACAGATTCATTGGGTTGAAATAAATATTTCATGCAATGGGTTATTTTGCTTTCTAAATGTAAAACCAGATATTGATCATTGCAAAGTGACCACAATCAATCTATTATTGGAATTGGAAGAGCAACAAAAATCAATATTAATCGTTGTAAGCGAAAATAGAGGTCAACTGGGATCAAATGTTAACCGCTGTAATTGAGACAATTGTTTCATTATGAATGTTATGCATATTGGTGGTCGTTACCTAATTTTGGATCAAATGATGAAGTAAAAGTTTGCAGATTACAAACATTCAAATTGTAAGCTCAGATAATCTGGGTTGAAACAATTGAATGCTGTGTCAAGCTTTCCCTGTATTCTGTTCAAGGTTTCCAATAATGAGATTATTTGTGTTTTTTTCTCGTCTTCTTTGGTTGATGTAGATGAGCAACAACAATGAGGTTAGTGAAACAATAAGAGTGAAGAAGGAGAAAAAAAACTAACAGAAAGTTGAACCTAAAAGATGAGGAAAGTAACAATTTGCCTTGAAAGTGCAACATGAAAATCAATACAATTTAAACAGTTAACCATGGGATTCATCTTGAAATGTTGACAAAACGCAAATAGCAATTATTTTGAAATGCAACGGTCATTTGAAGAAAGACATGAAAGATAATTGAATATTGAAGTAAAAATGTTATGGCAAGAGGTGAGTCTTTTTACAGAAATGAATTAGAAAGGGAATGAAAGACAGGGGAAAATATCATGATATAATAATAGTTCATTTTGTATGAAACAAAATGAGCGAGAAAATGACTTAAGGCTTGGTTGTTTGCTCATAGATCCATGAGCATGGTGAGTATAAAAAAAGCTACATCAACCATTATTAATAAATATACACATTGAGAAAGCTTTTTGCCATCGAAGGGAATCAAGATAGGAAATGATGAAGATGAGAGGAAGATGAAGGGATGATGAAAGGAAAAGGGAAGATAAAGTAGGAGTAAAATGAATCAAAGCTTTTCTGGGTCAAGGCTAAAAAGAACAGAAAATTACAGAAAATAACTTTCACCCTTTTTTTTCATGCTCACACTCATGGATCAAAGTTTACCTAAACAGTTTTGGTTCCTTTCAGTAACGATTCAAAGGGAAACAATCAAGGTTAACATGATAATGATAGTGAAAATCAGATTGACATGGAATCTTCGTCTTTCCATATTTCCTCTTCTCTCTATCCTTTTCATGAACACTTGTCATGTAAGTTTACTTGGGAAATTAGATGTTGGGTGATGGAAAAATTTTGTTATTACTTTTATACTTAAATGGTTCAAATCAAGTTACAAGAACAATATTTGAAATTAAACTTTCCTTTTCCGTTGGCAACTTTTCTCATTCTGTTGATGAAACAAAAAGATACTATTACTGGTTCATTTTGAATCTCACTAGACCACTGGTTATGATTAATGTGATTTTAAGTATCATCATGAGATAACCCAGAAGACATGAACATCTCAATTTTATGCAATTTTTATATGATAGAGTGCATGTTGATAAACTATTAATATGGTAAAGTAAAGCATTAGATTGGAGAGAAAGGTGGAGTCAGAATTTTATCAAAATTCTGCAATTACAAGATAATTTGTTGTTGCAAAATATCAATACTTATGAATATTTGCACTGCAAGAGATATAACATGAGTTTCATTGAAACATTGTATTAAGATGTTTACATTTACCTGGTTTTTTTCACAGTTTACTGTATATTAATTAGTAAATAGTGTTAGCAAACAAAATGATAATAGATATAAAATGAAAATACCTTTTCTGTTTGCTTTATCATCAATTACTTGAATGGATAATTTATCAAACGAAACAAAGAAATGGAAACAAGAAAAACTAGAAAAGAGGGAAACATTAAAGGGTGAACTTGGTAACCATAAAAGTTAATAATTGTATTGACAGTGAATCTGGTGATTGTGATGATAAAAATGACCAACACCATTTGACCAGAATTTGCAATTCGTCATAAAGTTGTCTATTTACAAGACTTTCATTTCAATGAATATTTTTGTTTGGTGAATAAAAGCAATGAAATTATTAGTGAAAGGAAATGAATGAGACTGACGTCAATATGAAGTAACCCAAAAAGCAATAGTCTTCATTGGCTGTAACACTGTTGGTTTAAATTGAAGATTGGGTTTAATTTTGCCTTTTTTTAACTTGATAAGGTGAAAGGTTTGATTGTTCATGTAAGAGGCATGAAAAATAATCTGTTGAACAGAAGGATGAGAATGAGTTGGAAAGAAATGTCAAGAGATTTAAAAACAAGGCTAAACATTGGCTCAGCTAAAGTTATGACAGATAATTGTTTACAATGAAATATAGCATGTAACGAAGAAAATGTTAAACTAATAAATAATTGACTAAATAACATGTGATTAACAAGGTTTGATGTTACACTTGAACAATTAAGGAATGAATGATCTGTAATAATTATCAACAACAACAGACGTAAATGATATTTACTTGTAACTTGTGATGGTTAACCAGAAACATTGGCAATTTCATTTTCAGGTAAATAACTGGTAAAATAAATGGGTGCAAAGGTACAGAAGTAAAGAAACTATGATTTGTTTTTTTACTTGAAATGCAATTTATACTGAGTTTCACTTTATCAATTGTGACAATTAAATGTTGAAGAAATTGCTTCAAGAAAAGTGTCACTCTGATGATGGATTTTTCACAATTTTTTTTCTTTTCTTTTTGATACTGCTTTTTGGGTTAAAACATTTGCAATATTGTCTAGAACAGAAAAGATGTGAAGAGAAAAAATGAAATTGAGCAAAGAATTTGTTCAGCATGAGAACTGGAAAAGTCCTTGAAAATGACCTATAAAAATGTAATCATGTTAACTGAGGAAAGTGTAGACATTTTCATTGGGAATGTTCAACTTGTACTTTTTTTTCTTGGTAACCTTGGTGATTATCCTGATTCTGGGTGAAGATAAGGCAAATCATGAAGTGTTAATCTTTCAAAACTAAGCTTCAACCCATATTGTTAACACTTGTAAATGTGACAAAAAAGATGATTTACTTTCAAGGTGGAAACACTGTAATTAAATGAAGATGAAAATTAATGTTGACTGAAATGTAAAAAATGATCAACTTCAAGTTGAATCAAAAATGTCAAGATAATGGTAAAGAGAGCGAGATGTGTCACATTATCAATGCAAATAATATTATTAATATTAATAGTTCAATTATTGATGAATGAGTGGCGAGGTAAACATTTTTTCAGTTAACTTTTGCTTTCAAAATGTAAAAGGTGTTTGTAGAGTTGCAGACAGATAGCGATAAATTAACAATTAATTCATACCCGGCCAACATGGTGTAAAGTAACACTCCCATACTCCATATATCCACTGCTTCATCGTAACCCTGTTTTTTGAGTACTTCAGGGGCAACAAAATTGGCTGTGTAACAGGGTGTCATGAGTAAACCATTTCCAGCTCTCATTTGTTTGGCAAAACCAAAATCACAGATTCTTATTGACTCAGGAGCTCCAGATGAATCGGCATACATTATATTGGATGGTTTAAGATCTCGATGGACAACCTAATCATTAACAGATAGAAAACATTAGTTATGGAAAAATCAGTGAATATAAATGATTCGGAAGGAAGGAATTGCTGGTTTAGTTTTTACTTGACAAAGGGTTGATTAATTGAAGATTGGGAATAAGAATGATAGGAAAAATCTTGCATGAAATGGAGGCGGAAATTTCATTGATTGAGCTTTATATTGTGAAAATGTTCAATAGGATTGAAAATAAATGTAAAAAGGTGAAAAGGTTAAATTATTTAGATGGTTCATTAATCATTGATATCTTTTCAATTGTAATAATTCAATTAACGGGAAAAGTTTTTTCTCTTTGACAAATTTTGAATTTTCATCAATATTTAATGATTCACTGTTTTGCATCATTATGCATTTCAGATGGACAGTTAAAGACTTCGTTTAATGATTGATGAATGATTAAACGGCATTTAAAAGGTAAAGAGTGGATGAAAGGTGCAGGTGTAATAAAATGAATGACGAACAAGAAAAAACAGTAAATTTTAAATGATGGATGAAATTGTTGAGATTCAATGAATAATTTACGTATTGATTTAAACATTTGCTGTAATTGATGGATTTACCAAAACAATAGTTACGTCGTAATACCATAATCTTCAAGATGAATTTAGCAATTTAGCTTATCTGTAAATAACTGAAAGGTTGAACCATGGTTTGGTGAACAACAGTTCAATTTACATTGAATAATCTTGAGCAATAAAATGTTTCAGAAGTGAATTTCAGATTTCAAGTTTACATTGTAATTTGTGATTCTGTGAACAAGTTTGTTTCAAGAATCGAGAAGAGTGTGAAAGCTATTGTCAAGTGCAATTGATTTTGATGGAAATGATCATCTTAAGATGAAAAAAAATATTTAAACGATCAATCGATGATAATGAGATGTACAAAAGGATAATGTTTCAGAATGGGAAGAGTGAAGAGAAAAGAATGAGAAAAAATCAGATAAATTCATACCCCATTTTCATGAAGATATTTAATGGTTGCAGCAATAATTTCAAGAACTTCACTGGCTTCCTTTTCATTGAAACTTCTCTTTGATAGTATACGGTCCAATAGTTCACCGCCCTCCAGGAAATCCATGAATAAGTAAACACAGTCACTATCTTCATAAACATCATGAAGAGTAACTATATTAGAATGTTGACCAAATCTTAAAAGTATTTCAATCTCTTCAGAGCAATCAAATTTTTGTTTATCAATGATCTAAGGAGACAAAATGTGAAAGAAGTGAATGAGAAAAAAAAGAGTTGAAAGATGATGGAAGGGAGAAGGAAACAGAGAAGGAGAAAGGGAAGATAAAGGAAGGAGAATAGGAAGATAAAAGAAATGTCATGAAAGAAAAGCATAAGGCAAGAGAAAAGATGATCGTTACAAAGATTCTAATGTACAAGTTTTGAAGCATTTTTGAAAAGTTATTGTACTTGACATTGCATCTTTGTAGATCACTTTGTTTGGTTGAAAAGTAAAATTGATGAAAAGATGAGAAACTGTTAGAATGACAGTTTTCAATAGGATTTATATGGAAATGTGAATGTTGATGGAAAGAGAGGAAACAGAGGAAAATGAAGGTTTAAAAGTATCCAAACCTTTACAGCATATTTAACTTGAGTTTCTTTGTGAATACACATTTTACAATATGAAAATGAACCTTTGCCTAGCTCTTTACAAAATTCATATTCATCTAATGATCGACCCATACATGCGGATATTATTCCAGTTTGCTTGAGTCGAGTGGTAACCATGGAAGAACCATTTGTAACTTTGTCCAATTCCATATCAAGATTATTGGCTAAACTAGGTGCAATAAAGCTAAACCCTTTGAAAAGTGCATGGGCATTGGCACTAGGAGGAACTCCGGGAGAGTCTGAATGTTTTTTTTGTGTTCAAGGAAAAAGGATGTAAGAGGTAAAAAAAAGGCAGAAAAGGATTATAAATAAGTGATGATGATGTGGATGATAGGAAACATTGAACTGATGTTATTTAGTGAAGAAAAGTCAAGAATGCAGAAGTGAAAATATTTATATTGATGGATGATGAGTTTAGATGAATTATTCTGGTGCAATGATTTTGTACTCAAACTAACCTTAAAATGGTCTAGAAATTCAATCTTCAGTTCAATATTTTTTAACCATTTGAAAATACTTCTACTTACCTTCTTGAATATTAAAATGAAATAGATTGTCATCACGGACAACTGTCGGAATGTAAGGTGGTGTAACCTCTTTACGGGTCAATTTAGTGAAATCAATGGTTTCAAAAAATGCATGTTCCATGATGTCTTTACCTCCATTGGCACCTGAACCCAATCGATTAGCGGGATTACGTTTAAATAAAGATCGCAATAAACATTGAGCGTGTACACTTAAATATTGTGGCATGGGAATCCGCGACCTGATACATGGATCAATAGGGTAAAATGTGTTACAAGGTTCATTGTAAATTGTAATTAGTAAACAAGTCGATAGTAATGACAATGGATGGAGGGATGGGAAAACCAGGCAAATGGGTTAAACAAATTGAACAGGTGAGTAGAGTTGGTGTATCGAAAGAAAGAGATGAATCGAGAAAATGGTGTAATTCTGACTATATGTGGGTATGTGTTTGATCAGAAAAATGATAAATAGGTAATAAACTGCAAGGAAATAAAGAGATGATGCAAGAAGTGAGAAAAAAACAAAATGGAATAAATGAAGAGACAGAATTTCGAGAATGTTTTGAAATTTGAAAAAATATAACAAAAAGATGAGGAAAAAATGTTTAAACAATTTCTCTCCTTTTTTATATTCTGGTTATCATTGTTTTAAACCATTACTGAAAGATTTTCCATCAACCTGAGTAAGCTTCAATATCCAATTTTACTTGATTCATCTTCTCAGTCTACATGTAAATTGTTGAGATGTCGTTAGTTTAAAACATGTAACTCAAAGAGCAGAAAAAAAAGCTATCGACTGTTCAGCATGATTATGTTGATTAAATTTTTCTTTTTCTCTTTCTACTTCTACTAAGCTAAACATCCATTTAATGGTGAAGTAATGGCAAATTTCAATGGTTCCAAGATGCATGTTTGTGAGATTACAAGAATAAATGTTTACATTTTACCTTCCTTTTTTTTCTTATCTCTTTCGCGTCTGTCTTTTTAATGAATAGCATACATCAAACTCAATTTAGTTTGAGGAAGAACAGTTTAAATCTGAATCTTACAATCAACAAGGAGAATCAGAGGAAGAGGGAAAAAGGGAAGAGTATAAAAAAAATCGACTAACTTGAGAATCTGATTCATTGTCTCTTTTCTGGTGCCACCACGGAATGGTAAGGCTCCGGTTAACATTTCAAACATGAGAACACCAAAAGACCACCAATCAACCGCCACAGTGTGACCTTTACGATTAATTATTTCAGGTGCCATGTACTCTACGGTTCCACAAAAAGAATATGTTTTGTCATCAGCAAGAGATTCTTTGCTCAAGCCGAAATCAGTCAATTTAATGTGACCTCCAGAGTCTAGGAGAATACTAAACAAGGAAATAAGAGAGAAAAAATTTCAAGGTTTTTCACAATTAGTATAATACCATAATACTATCATCATCATGAACATTATCAATTTAGTTAGTTATTGAGTTGAGGATTAACAAAAGAAGATTAAACTTTAGATCAAGTCTGAATAATCAACGTAATATTGAAATGAAATGGATGAGGGAATTGTTTCTCAATATGTTTGAGTGGATGAAGTGCTTAAAAAGGATATAAGAGGAAATTAGAAATGGGCATAAAATGGAAACTAACTTTTCAGGTTTAAGATCTCTGTAAATAATTCCAAGTGAATGTAAATGATCCAGAGCAAGGACAAGTTCAGCAAGGTAGAATTTGACATCTTCTTCGGTAAACATGACCTATGGAATAGAAAAATGAGTATAAAAGAAGAAAGAACAAAAGGTTAGATAATAATTTTATCAGGAATTTTTTCTTGAAGTTAAATGTTTATGATGGGTAAATGACTAACAAGAAGCGAGGATAGGAAAGAGAATGAAATAGAGAAAAAGGAAAAAGGAAGGAAGATATGATGAGAATCAAGGTGAGAAATACTGACACTGGAAATAAGGGATAATTTTGGAACATAAAATTAGAGCCTATCTCGAGTCTTACCTCATGATTAAGCCTTGTAAAAAGATCACCTCCATGTAAGTAGTCTAGAACTAAATAGAGTTTTCCTTCGGTTTGAAAGGCGTAATTAAGTTTCACTATAAAAGGATGATTAACCTCAGCTAGAATATCTCGTTCCATTTTACTTCGCTCTCTATCACGAACTTTGAGAGTTGCCTTTCTTAAGACTTTCATGGCATACAATGTGCCTGCATCCGGTCCAATTGTTTTCTTGACCAAATAAACTTTACCAAAAGATCCTTCACCTAGAACTTTTAACAATGCAAATTGGTTTGGATCGGCAGCTGGATGACCCTCCTTGGTAACATTTGTAACCTCAATTTCCCGTATAGTTGAACCATCAGTTTCCATTTGTTGAACCTGTTCATTATTATCAATCGGTGGCATCTCTTCGGGACTTGGTGTAGATGAAATAACCTGTTGGACGAAGAAGTTTTTTTGCGATATAATCAAGAATCTGCAAGCTGAATTGTTGATACATCAATAGATAATTTTCAACAATAAAAATAAATTCAGTTATTAACAAAAATTAATAAAAAAAGAAATAAATAAAACAAAAAGTAAAAAAAGCAAAAGGATGCAGAAAAAAATGACAGTAAATGACAGTAAAGAAACGAAAGGCTGAGAAGACTCTACTTTTTGTTGTAAATTATAAACAAAAAAATCAACATGTTTTACCTGAACACCGGAATCATCCTTTTGCCAGGGAACATCTAAATTTGCAAGAGGCATTTTACAAACTGTTACCACTAGTTAAATAAATCACAGAAATGTAAAGAAAGAAACAATTTACAATAAAAATTTTGATGATCAAATGATAAGGTAATAATAATCTTTTCAGACAAAACACAGTGACTAAACTCAAGCTTTAAACTATGAATGTAACTGCAAAACCTTCTGCTTCAGTATCGATATTTTGACAACAATAGTTATCGATATCAATATCTAATCTTGCGACAAAAAGGTAGAAGCTAGCAGCACCTATTGATGGATAAATAAACTATAAATGAAAGCTTAAAATAGCTATCAATATGAGTTGTT